CACCATGCAACAGATGTCTCAAGTTTTGAGGGAGCGTGCAATTGGCATGCTGACTGCAGGAATGTCCACCCGAGCTGTTGCCAGATCATTTAATGTTCATTTCTCTACCATTTCTCTACGTCATTTTAGAGAATTTGGCAGTATGTCCAACCAGCCTCAACCGCAGACCACGTGTAGCCACGCCAGCTCAGGACCTCCACATCTGGCTTCTTCACCTGCGGTATCGTCTAAGACCAGCCACCCGGACAGCTGATGGAACTGAGGAGTATTTCTGTCTGTTATAAAGCCCTTTTGTGGGGAATAAAAAAAAACAAATTCTGATTGGCTGGGCCTAGCTTCCTAATGGGTGGGCCTATACCCTACCAGGCCGACCCATGGCTGCTTCCCTGCCCAGTCGTGAAATCCATAGATTAGGTCCTAATTTATTTATTTCAGTTGACTGATTTCCTTATATGAACTGTAACTCAATACACATTTTGAAATTATTGCATGTTGCGTTTATATTTTTGTTCAGTATATATCAACTTTTGTGTGGATTTAGTAGTGCCCACCAAGACCAGCAAAATATTCCCTAATAATAAACCATGGGTATCTAAGAAACTGAAAGCGGTGCCAAATAAGAAAGTTAGTACATGCAGAGGGAAATCCACAGGCAATGAAAGACATACAGAGAGAGGTTAAAAGACAGATCCAGATAGATGATGCATACAAACTCAGGGTGAAAAGACTCATCAGGCAATTATAGAGCTGCCTGGCAGGGAATTAAAACCATGGCAAGTGCCCCCACAAGGGCAAAGGGAAAGTCAGTGCTGCCCTTGGAGGTGGAGAGGGACTTAACATGACAAATGACTTGAATGTGTTATTCTCAAGGTTTGAGGCAGATGACCCTCCTGTCTGGGGTCCATCATGTTAAAGCTCCACTGGAGATGACAGATAAATTGTTGTTAATCAGTCAGATGCCATAAAACGATCAGTGGTAGGAAAAGTACCAAATTGTCATACTTGAGTAATAGCAAAGATACCTTAATAGAAAATGACTGAAGTAAAAGTGAAAGTCACCCAAAATTCTACTTGATTAAAAATCAAAGTATTTGGTTTTAAATATACTTAAGTATCAAAAGTAAATGTAATTTCTAAAATATACTTAAGTATCAAAAGTAAAAGTATAAATCATTTCAAATTCCTTATATTAAGCAAACCAGACGGCACCATTTTCTTGTTTTTTTAAATTTACGGATAGCCAGGGGCACACTCCAACACAAGACATCATTGATAAATGAAGCATTTGTGTTTAGTGAGTCCACCAGATCAGAGGAGGTAGGGATGACCAGAGATGTTCTCTTAATAAGTGTGTGAATTAGACAATTTCCTGTCCTAGGTAATCCTTCAAAATGTAACATGTACTTTTAGGTGTCAGGGAAAATGTATGAAGTAAAAAGTACATTATTTTATTTTGGAATGTAGAGAAGTAAAAGTTGTCAAAAATCTAAATAGTAAAGTACATATACCAAAAGTATACTACTTAAGTAGTACTTATAAGTATTTTTACTTAAGTACTTCACACCACTGAAAACGATGCATTGCCTACAAAAGCCCAGGCCCAGACAACATCTGTGGTCATGTTTAAAAACACTGTGCAGAGCAACTGGCGGGTATTTTCTATTTTATTTTTCAATCCTCTTTGCATCAGCAACAAAAACCTATGCTATGGAAAAGCTCTACTATAGTACCCATCACCAAATCAACACAACCATCTCTACCAAATGATTACAGGCCGGTAGCTTTAATGTCCCTGGTTATGAAGTGCATTGAGAAGACTGTCAAAAACCACATCCTGCACTCTACCCAGCAGAATCTTGATCCCCTTCAGTTTGCCGATATGACTGCTAGTGGGGTTGATGATGCCATCCTCATGCTACTGAACCTTATCTACAAACACATAGAGGGAGCTAAATGTCATGCTAAGGTCTTATTTGTTGATTTCTCCTCTGCTTTTAATATAATCCAGCCCTCCACCTTGGCCCAGAGACTAATAGACAATTTCTCATTGGATGGAGGCCTGGTGCTGTGGATCCTTGATATCCTTAGCAATAGGACACAGCAGGTCAAGGTAGGACAGTGCAAGCGCACCACTAGCGTGGGATCTCCTAAAGGCTGTGTGCTTTCTCCGCTGTTGTACATCTTGTACACTAATGACTTTAAAAGCTTCTACCCTGGTAGACTCCTGGTAAAGCTTGCAGACAACACAGCACTGGTCAGTCTACTCCAGGGTGATGAGGAGGAGCACGGGCCAGTCTTGGAGGACTTTTTAACATGGTGTGAAGACTCTCACTTTGGTGGGGGTTTTTTTTTTAGCACTAAGATGCACATCGATTTGAGGAGAAATGTAACACCTTCCCCACCGACTGTTGTTAAACGACAATACTGTAGTGGAGGAGTATAAATCCCTGGGTGTTGTACTTGACCACAAGCTACAATGGGAAAAGTGTACTAAGCAGATGTACTTTTTAAGGAAACTAAGCTCCTTTAATGTTGATCGTGTTCTATTGTCACTGTTTTACAAGTCATTCATTGAAAGTATCTTAACATATTGTATAATTTGCTGGTTCGGAAATGCTAATGTCTCTCAGAGAAATATGTTAAGAAAAAATGTTAGCTCTGCTAGTAAGGTCTGGAGGTCATTTATGATTTAAGAGCCTTCACAAAAGCCCACAAGGTACTGATGGACCCCAGATATCCTCTTAACCAGGAGTTTGAGCTACTCCCCTCGAGGCGACATTACAGGGTAACAAGGCACAAAAGAAATAGGGCCAAATGATCCTTTGTCCCAGTGGCAGTAAGGTCCCTGAATGTTTAAACCAGCGGGCTAACATTGTAGTTGAAAGAGGCTCTTGAGGAATCATACACCTCTGTAAGACTCATTGTAGCTACAAAACTGTCAGTGTTCCACCTTGTCGTGACGTGACTTACTTTAATGTATGACTGTTATTCATCGAATCACCTAAATATGTTTAATTGTCACTCGATTAAATTAATCATGTAACACTTAACTCATTAGGAATTTGGGGCACCACGGAAGATGTTGTTTAACGAGTTACCATCTCCCAAATTAAACTCTTAGAAGATATGTTATATATCGATAAGTCACTTATCAAATAATTACCTCTTATCAGTCTCATTCTGAACGTCGCATAATCCTTGAACCTGCAAGAACCCTAATCTTATTGATTAATCAGCAATTCACAAATTGGCTTAATTATTTATTTACTAACTAACTAAATAATAACACAATACAAACAGACATAGGTTATTGATTACTAACGTAATACAATGAAAACAGGTCCCTAGTCGACTGGACTAACAATCGCATGACTGCTTGGGTAGAAGGAGGGTCAGAGTGGAAGGGAGAGACAGAGATTCAAACTATCGTGGTTACTTTGGAGACTATGCTCACAGTAATCATAATACTTATGCACCCTAATAACGCTCATTCGGATTAGAAATGCAACATGTATTTACGTGTAGCTGTCCTCGATAGTTGAGTTGATGATGTAGTACTCTGGTTTGCCCACCAGAGATCCCAATGTCCTTGGGAGAATTTCTGGTCATAGTGCTAGTTAGACAATGTGGTTGTCTGAGAGGGATTGTCCTTCCCACTTCGTGTCTTTAGTGAAAGTTCTCTAGACGACTATACATGCCAGCTGCAGACTGAAATTATAAGGTCTAGTGCATATCGTCTTCTTCACCTCGTGAAGAGGTTGAGAGTTTCAGAGTTTCTCCATTTCAAACGTGTGGACTAACGTCTCACGTTTTCTGGTCTTTCCGGTCTTGTAGAAATTCAACCATTTTACAACGTTTAGCTCACGCTTCACATCTGCTGGTCTAAAGGTTGATTTGTTTTTCAAGGATTTTTATGCACTCGGGGTAAAAGGGGCGTTCCATCATGTTTACACGATCTCACTCGGGGCGTGGCTAGTCAGTGTGCATAGTTTATATGAAAAACGATCTCATTAGAAGACTAAAATCACATTCCTATCTTCACCAAAATACTCTCATACTTAATCATATATTTTATACAACATTTAGATGTAAACTTGATAGAATATGTATACTTTCCATGTTGAGCCCTCCATGACTTGCAGTAAGGTCCACACAGGAGTAATTACATTGTAACTAAGTAGTTTGATACAGTCTCAAGCACTGTCAGGGACATTACTAGGAACTGGCTTTTGGGGCTTTAGCTTCGAATGATTTTGGGTCAGCCCCAAATCTTTTGTGCTGTGTTTGATAGTGTATGAGAAACAATTGTCAACTGAATACGCCACTTAGTTCGGAGCTGTGGTTAAATGAAACTCACGAAGTCATCCAACCGTTATAATCATGGATGTAGTGCTGCTGGTGCACAGCTCCGCCACGCTCCGCAACGCTCCGCCACTTCTCAGAATGGTGCTATGTCTCGCAAGATCACTTAATGATTAACCTCTTGATAGGACCCTTCATCTCAATTTCCGCCTAAAATGACATACCCAAATCTAACTGCCTGTAGCTCAGGACCTGAAGCAAGGATATACATATTCTTGATACTATTTGAAAGGAAACAACATAATATTTAGTATGAAGTCTCCCAGGTGTCCCTCACGAGTTTGCCCAAAAGTGGCCTCCAAGTGGCCGAATTGGTCAAATGATAGATTTGCAAGTACATAATTATAGAGAACATACAAAAATGCTATGGTAAGACAAAAATAACGTTTACACACTCCTAGGAATGTCATACATGATGGATCATTAGCTTCCCTACATAAAAGGTACTAACAAGAGACACGACGAGAACGCTGATTCAATGCCTCCCAACACAGAAGTGAACTATTTAAGATAAGGGCCAAGTTAGCAGCCAACACTGATCTAATGTCATAAGTGCACACACCACAAACCACACACAAAGTGAGAAAAAAAAAACTATTTACACACTATTTACAATTTGAGTATTTAGAACACCCACAGTCCTCTACACAAGATTGTGCTGCTGATGTCAAGTCCCATAGCAGTCTCTTTCTGCTGTGAAGCAGAGGGTAACAGCACAAGAAGTGCAGGTAATGGGAGATTTCTTGTGGCACAGAGTTCAGCGACGCCTCCCTGCTGTGCTCTTTTGGCCCTTAGGCACATTCAGGTCTGCAGTTATGTATTTTGGCAGGTGAACACCACTGGTTGCAGGAGTATAGGGGACAGAGTAGAGGGGACTTTGTGCCGTAGTCAGCAAACTCCTGGATCAGCAGCTCTCTGAAGGCTAGCTGTGTCATGGGGGTCTGTCTTAGCCATTTCCTTCTGGAGGATGAATGCATTCACCACAGCAATGTCGATGAAGTGATAGAACAATGTCTTGTACCATTTCATTGTCTTATGGAGAACATTGTAGTAGCCTATCAGCGCGTCTGACAGGTCCACAACTCCCATGCTCTTGTTGTAATCCTTTACAGCAGCTGGAGTGGGGACATTTTTCTTGGTCCATGCCCCATTAGCGTCCTTCACACGCCTTCTGACGTGATTGCCACTGTACGATTTGTGGATACTGGAGCACATGACCACCTCTCTGGTATCCATCCACTTTACAAAGAGCAGGTCATCTTTACGAATCCATCGCATGGTACCCCTATCAGCCCTCTTAGGTATGTCTTTTACCCACTCTGTTGGGACAAATGGTGCCACAAGACCTTACATTCAGCTTCCTCAGGTCTGTAAACGGGGTAGGGCTTGTGTAAAAGTTGTCCACAAACAGTTTGTAGCCCGCCCCCAGCAGTGGAAAATCCAATAATTCCATAACAGAATCATAACTAAGTCCCTTACCGGTGGCTGAGATGGATTTCCCCTCGTAAACAAAAAGATTCCAAGTGTAGGCACACATAGAATTGGCCAAAACAAATAGTTTGTAACCACATTTTGTTGACTTGTTACGCATATATTGTTCTAGCCTTTGAGGCTACCATCCTCTCATCTATGGACAGGTTCTGGGCAGGCTGAAAATGGGTCTTGCAGGCCTCAACAATGCTGGAGTTTGCAGAGCCTATCAAAGCTTGCTGTGCCTCTCATCTTCTCAATGTCATCGTCAGCTTGTGGGTCACTGATATGAAGCGCCCGCGAGATAGTCAGTATATAAGTGAGAGGGTCTCTTTGTTCAAGAGAGTTCGAAATGGCAAGAGGCATAGCCCTGTCCTTCTCTTATAACGAACCATGGTACCTATTAAATACTTATATGAACTTCCCAGGTAAGTGTTAAATATCTTATTGCATCATGAATTACTTGATACCCTAGAAACTCATCATAACAAGCTTCTCCAGTAGCCCTTCAGGTTTTTCAACTTCACAAGCCCCATGTAAGTGACCAGTGAAATGTAACAGTATAGGTTCTGGATGGAAATGGGCTTCCATAACTCTTTCTTGCCTGCTTGCTTCTTAGCCCCATACTTGTTGGTGTTAGACACCAGCGAACCAAGAACTGACAAGGAGAAAAACATCAGGAAAAGATGAAGGGGGCTGTACTTTCCAGTCATGTCCAGCTGAGGTCCTGGCTGCCTTTTAGTTCGAAATGTTGGTGGAAGTGGCTCCACATCATCCTCTAGCACAGTGTGCCAACAGTCCTCTCCCTCTGTGGTAGTTGCCGCCGGTGAACTGGCCCTCCTCCGCTTCTGGGCTGGCCTCTTCACACCTCTAGATGGCTGGGCAGGGGTGGGTGTGGAGCCAGAGACAGCGGCAGGGGTCAGACTGGAGGAACCAGTTCCTACGTTTGAATGAGTGGGGGATGGAGGACTTGAATGTGGTCTCTTTGGAGTTGGCTCCCAGAGGTAATCTGAGTCAGAGTCTCTACCACTATTGAGGATTTTAACAAATTCAGTTAGAACTCAAGTTTACTATTACTTATTTTATTTAACCTTTATTTTAGCAGGGCCTTGCATCAATACTTTTACGGATGAGCCCTGCATCAATACATCAAATACACAACACATATCTATAAACATACACAGTATATTATATAGAGTATGGGAAACACAATCACTATAATCACTCTTTGTATTCTCTCAACCAGCTTCATGAGGTAGTCACCTGGAATGCATTTCAGTTAACAGCTGTTCCTTCTTAAAAGTTAATTAGTGGAATTTATTTCCTTCTTAATGCGTTTGAGCCAATCAGGTGTGTTGTGACATGTTAGGAGGGGGGTATACAGAAGATAGCCCTATTTGGTAAAATACCAAGTCCATATTATGGCAAGAACAGCTCAAATAAGCAAAGAGAAACGACAGTCCATCATTACTTTAAGACATGAAGGTCAGTCAATACGGAACATTTCAAGAACTTTTGAAAGTTTCTTCAAGTGCAATGGCAAAAACCATCAAGCGCTATGATGAAACTGGCTCTCATGAGGACCGCCACAGTTGTGGAAGACCCAGAGTTACCTCTGCTGCAGAGGATAAGTTCATTAGAGTTACCAGCCTCAGAAATTACAGCCCAAATAAATGCTTCACAGAGTTCAAGTCACAGACACATCAACTGTTCAGAGGGGACTGTGTGAATCAGGCCTTCATGGTCGAATTGCTGCAAAGAAACCACTACTAAAGGACACCAATAAGAATAAGAGACCTGCTTGGGCCAAGAAACACGAGCAATGGACATTAGACAGGTGGAAATATGTCCTTTGGTCTGTAGTCCAAATTTGAGATTTTTGGTTCCAACCGCCGTGTCTTTGTGAGACGCGGTGTGGGTGAATGGATGATCTCCGCATGTGTATTTCCCACCGTAAAGCATGGAGGAGGAGGTGTTATGGTGTGGGGGTGCTTTGCTGGTGACACTGTCTGTGATTTATTTAGAATTCAAGGCACACTTAACCAGCATGGTTACCACAGCATTCTGAAGCGATACGCCATCCCATCTGGTTTGGGCTTAGTGGGACTATCATTTGTTTTTTCAACAGGACAATGACACAACACACCTCCAGGCTGTGTAAGGGCTATTTTACCAAGAAGGAGAGTGATGGAGTGCTGCATCAGATGACCTGGCCTCCACAATCCCCCGACCTCAACCCAATTGAGATGATTTGGGATGAGTCGGACGGCAGAGTGAAGGAAAAGCAGCCAACAAGTGCTAAGCATATGTGGGAACTCCTTCAAGACTGTTGGAAAAGCATTCCAGGTGAAGCTGGTTGAGAGAATGCCAAGAGTGTGTAAAGCTGTTGTCAAGGCAAAGGGTGGCTATTTGAAAAATCTCAAATAGAAAATATATTTTCATTTGTTTAACACTTCTTTGGTTACTGCATTATTCCATATGTGTTATTTCATAGTTTTGATGTCTTCACTATTATTCTACAATGTAGAAAATTGTACAAATAAAGAAAAACCCAAACTTTTGACTGGTACTGTATATATAAATCAAAGAAAAATATCTAAAATCAATAAATAAATATGCAACCATTTAAACAACTGCATTAGCATGAGAAGCAAAAACGTATTTTACTCACTGAAAGTGGATCTTTTCCTTCCAAAAACATGTATTCCATGCTGGAATCAAAACTGTTTTCACTCACAGAGTCCTCATCCATTCGTTCTGTGTCACTCTCCTGGTCAATTTCTGCAATGATCTCATCCAAATTTGTATACTTAGACTTCGATTGAGCTTTTCCACTCTTAGGTAGCCATGTTTTACTTTTTTAGTTTTGAGAAAAGTTTGTAGAAGAGAATGTACCACTGCGTAACGTAAACACTGTTGCGCACAGCTCTAGCATGATGGCTGTTTGTCGTACAAAGGGCATTCACATACTGCTGGAAAGCACAGCTCATTGGCTATCTACCTAGCTATGTTTCAAAACGATAGGTGGTCATTGGACCAAGACACTGTCAATCAAGTGAACACTGCTTGTCTCATTGGTGCGTAATGATGGCTGACCTTCATGGGCTAATTGACGTATTGTGTAGCCAATACGTAATGTAGAATGCTGAAACAAGTTTGGTTGCTTCTAGAGTGTCTGAGGATTGCACAGAAACTGAGCTTGACCGGGTTAAACAACGTTTTGCTGATTTTGATTTCATAAATAATTTTGTTACAAAGAGTCGGAATTCATGCAAAACGCTGTCTACAACATGGATCGTGTTAGGATATAAAAATTGATTTTATCAAACCAAACTATGCTACATTTTATCTCTGGGACCCTCAGGATGACAAATCACAGCAAGATTACTGAATGTAAGTACATTATTTACCGTCAGAGGTGAATGTTGCCTTGATAAAAGTTTTGTTGTTGTGCACCATCCTCAAACAATAGCATGGTATTTATTTTGCCGTAATAGCTACTGTAAAGTGGACACTGCAGTTAGATTAACAATCATTTAAGCTTTCTGATGATATAAGACATGTCTATGTCACGGAAAGTTGGCTGTTGTTTACAACGCCATTCTAGTCACATATCGCATATTGAGCATTAACTGTCCCGATTTCGGGACATTGATCCTGTAGAAGTTAATTAGTATTCTAGTATTATCCTGTTATACCAAAAATACCACGTCATTTTTTATGACAGTTTAAGATGATTGTGCTGAAATGTTGATTTTTTTTCTCATGCGGACAGAATTCAACAGCACGCGCCATAGGTTCAAATGTGCTTTGACTTAAACAAAATACAGGTGGCTGTGTTAACTCCATCTGCTCTAAAATTCGATTAAACAGTAGTTAGGCTGCTTAGCCTACATAATTCAAGAAGATCAAAATGCATATTCTAATTGGGATCAAATGGTTGGCATTCATGCAACATGGATTTTTCACCTGTGAAACGTGAAGAATTATAATTCACGATTGACCATGATGACGGCCTAATTTATAATAAAGTAGGCCTAATTTGGTGTTTTAGGATTTTACAAATATTTTTATTTTCATTGAGCTACATGTGTAGGCCTAGGCAATCATGTCATTTGGATGATGCATTGTACAGTATCTCACAAAAGTGAGTACACCCCTCACATTTTTGTAAATATTTTAGTATATCTTTTCATGTGACAACACTGAAGAAATTACACTTTGCTACAATGTAAAGTAGTGAGTGTACAGCTTGTATAACAGTGTAATAGTGTAACAGTGTAACAGTGTTCCCTCAATGGACTGTAGCTCCCCAGTGCCGGCAGCACTCATGCAGCCCCAGACCATGACATTCCCACCACCATGCTTGACTGTAGGCAAGATACACTTGTCTTTGTACTCCTCACCTGGTTGCCGCCACACACGCTTGACACCATCTGAACCAAATAAGTTTATCTTGGTCTCATCAGACCACAGGACATGGTTCCAGTAATCCATGTCCTTCGTCTGCTTGTCTTCAGCAAACTGTTTGCAGGCTTTCTTGTGCATCATCTTTAGAAGAGGCTTCCTTCTGGGACGACAGCCATGCAGACCAATTTGATGCAGTGTGCGGCGTATGGTCTGAGCACTGACAGGCTGACCCCCCACCCCTTCAACCTCTGCAGCAATGCTGGCAGCACTCATACGTCTATTTCCCAAAGACAACCTCTGGATATGACGCTGAGCACGTGCACTCAACTTCTTTGGTCGACCATGGCGAGGCCTGTTCTGAGTGGAACCTGTACTGTTAAACCACTGTATGGTCTTGGCCACCGTGCTGCAGCTCAGTTTCAGGGTCTTGGCAATCTTCTTATAGCCCAGGCCATCTTTATGTAGAGCAATACTTATTTTTTTCAGATCCTCAGAGAGTTCTTTGCCATGAGGTGCCATGTTGAACTTCCAGTGACCAGTATGAGGGAGTGTGAGAGCGATGACACCAAATTTAACACACCTGCTCCCCATTCACACCTGAGACCTTGTAACACTAACGAGTCACATGACACCGGGGAGGGAAAATGGCTAATTGGGCCCAATTTGGACATTTTCACATAGGGGTGTATTCACTTTTGTTGCCAGTGGTTTAGACATTAATGGCTGTGTGTTGAGTTATTTTGAGGGGACAGCACATTTATACTGTTATACAAGCTGTACACTCACTACTTTACATTGTAGCAAAGTGTAATTTCTTCAGTGTTGTCACATGAAAAGATATACTAAAATATTTACAAAAATGTGAGGGGTGTACTCACTTTTGTGAGATACTGTATGTAGGCTATATCTTTTAAAGATTTTATACAATAGGCTACATGTCTGTGCCAACTTTCATTCAGAAATGATGATGTAATGATAATAATAAAAAAAAGTGCTCAGGTAGACTACCTAAAAAATAGCACTACAACACTGGTAAATGTAAAGGAATTGCTATGTGTGGTCAACTGATCATTCCAGCACCGTTTTGATTGGGACAGCATCATTGCGCTGCTTTGAGACAAGCATGGGAACTAGTCTTTATAAATCAATCAACGTCAGATTTTTGTTTTCACTGAATCTCCTTTTGGATATTTGGTTACAATTAGGCTGGGAAATGTTAGCTAAGTTGAGGCTCATGATCATTAGTCTAGCAATTGAAAGCAATGCAGATTTTCTGATGCTTTGCAGTCACTTAGCCTACTGATGCGAATACACATTTGTACCCTTTTCCATAAGCTATTCAATTCAATTGACATATTTTCTTATTGG